GCCACCTTAATTCAATAGTAATAAGCACACTAAATGTATTTATTTGCTTATTTACTTATCTATCCATTCATTTGCTAATTTATCTATCTATTTATTTATCTGCTTACTTATCCATTCATCCATCGATTTATTTTCTTATCGACTCATCTACTTACCCATTTATTTATTTATTTCTATTTGTTTATTTATTTTTAGGCTGGGTGTCTCTTTCTTGCCCAGGTTGGGAATGTAGGGGCCACTTCCCAAATCCCACTACTGACTAGCCTAGAAGCTTTGATCTACTTTGTTTCCACTCTGGGCCAGTTTGCTTCTTCTTAGACAATATGCTGGCCCTTGCTCCCAGGGGTTCACCATTACCAACGCTTAACTTAGTGTGGACACCTGATTAGGTTTGTTGTTTTTGTTCAGTTGTGTCCAACTCTTTGTGATCCCATGGACCACAGCATGCCAATACTGTCCTTGGGGTTTTCTTGGCAAAAATACGGTAGTAGTTTGTCATTTCCTTCTCTAGTGGATTAAGGCAAATAGAGGTTAAGGGACTTGCCCAGGGTCACACAGCTAGTAACTGTCTGAGGTCACATTTGAACTCAGGTCTTCCTGACTCTAGTGCTCTATCCACTGGGTCACCTAGTTGCATCTCTGACTGGTTTACTCTATGCAATCAAGAACTTGTAAGCTCAGAAGATTTGCCACTCAGCTCCCAACTCCCACACTCCCCTCCTTCGAAGCAACTATGTTCTTGTGCCCCCACACCTGGCAATACCTGACCCAAAAGACTTAGCACAGTTTTAAGTTTTAGTAAGCTTAAGATTGCACTAAGACTTTTAGAATATCTTGTATTTCTAACAGAAATTATTTATGCTATTAATCCAACATAGAGAATGATTTTCTCTTAGGGAAATAGGGCTTCTTATTTATCATTCTGTAGTCAAATATTATAGAACCATACCCTACAACTAGTATCAAAGGAGACAGGCATACCCATATGTAACTGCGCTATAGATTAAGAAAGCCAATGTATACCCATGGCGAATTAGACCAAAAGCATATAAAAATTCATATTTTAGTCATATTGAGTAACATTATTGGTCTTCTTATCTTTTAAAAACATAATCAACAGCATCTATTAGGATGATAAAAGATTTTTCAATAAAAGGTCCAATTGCAAAATAGAATATAAAAGGATTGCAGGCATGGTAATTTTTTTAAAAAATTAAATTTTGCATGTTTTATTTTCTACAGAACTGTCATTTCACGGGCATCTGCAACTCTTGGTGAGGAAACTCCCTTTACCAATGTAGACTAACAAATATACTATGACCTAAGATCTTAGAAATCTACTGTGGACACTGATAGATTAAGTGACTTGCCCTGGGTCACATAACTAATATGAGTCAGAGGTAGTTCTTCCTGACTCCAAAAAAAGTGCTTTATTATTATGCCATACTGCTTCTCTAAAATTTCCATGAAGCTATTAAAAACACAACCCCACAGCTATGCTAACCAAGGCAAAATAGTTAGAAACCAACATTCTGTGTGCTCCAATCACTTCCCAAGCTAGAAACTGGCTATCCATTTGTAAGCAGGCGACCTCCTGTGAGGATAACATTAAATTTCTGACATAGGCCAAGGAAAGAACACTAGTGTGATACTAACAAGCCACTGCTTTTTTTTTTTTAATAAAGGATAAAAGCGTAAAGCTACATCTACCTTCTACAAGTGAATAGGCTTATTCTGCTTTGTTCCAAAGAACAGAACCAGGCCAGGAATCAAATTTGGGTTTGAGATCAGAAAACAAACAGACCAAAAAACCCTTCCCTAACAATTGGAGTTTGCCCCGGGTGGAATGAGCTTCCTTGGAAAATACTGATTTCTCTCACTAGGAGTTTTCAAACAAAGATTGGTTGACCATTTGTCCCTTCTGTTATTCTAGACTTTTTTTTTTTTTGGTGAGGAGAAGAGTATCGGCTGGGTTGGTTGGACATGGAGGTTCCTTATGATTTCTACTTTCGTCAGTCTTCCCTAAGTAGGTCACCAACCATGTTCCTTATTTATAAATGGATTGCAATGTGCCTCTAAGAATGTGAGAATCTGAACTTTTAGCAACTAGATCAAAACTAGCACTTTTTATGTCAGGTTACTTGCTTTCACTCAAACCACAGGATGTATCTGCTCCTCTAGTGAGAACATGCATTCGAGGTGTATGTTTATATATTGCTATGTTTTTGTACTATATCATAAAACTGAATTGTTTTATGAAATGGTCTTGCTTTTAAAGAAAAGGTCTTTCACAGCAGTCTTCTCTTTTACTGGTTGATATGAAAAAAACAATCTATTGCAACTAATACTTGGGAATGTTTTCATTGTTGTCTTTAAGAAGTCAGTCATCTGCTAAATTATTTATTTTTATAAACTCTTTGAAAGTTAATATCTGTGTAAAATGGATCCTGAAAAAAAGGCCACAGTTAAGAATGACAAATGTTTCTTTCACTGGGATGGTAAATATGGTTGCCATTTTTGATTAATTGACTTCCCCAAGTGGAAACGGCTTCTAGTAAGTTGTATATTTTAAGTGTTTGCTCCAAATAAAGATTGAAAGTATATTCTTTCTTTCTTCTTGGGGAAGTATTCAAATGCTGCAGAACCAAAAAACCTGTGGATAAGCATTGAATCCAACCAAAATCATATCTTTGAGGCCTAAAATAACTACACAGCAGCCTTATTTTAATGAACAAAACAGTCTAAATTATTTGTCTCTGATGTGAATTTCAAGTTAATCTTACCATAAGTTTTTCCCCCTCATAAAGTTCCAGGAAACTCTTCCAGATTTATGGGCAAACAGGGCTTTTAACCAGATATTGGCAGAAATTAGTCAGGAAACTTGCATAATACTCGCCTTCACCTTTGTGACATCTGGCAAGATTCTTTTTGTTAAAAACCTAAATGTATTGTTGGCTTTTAAAAAAATGTTTTAAAAAAATAATCCACATTCCTGGTACCATCAAGTGACAATCGCTAAAGGGAAATGTCATATAGCTTATAGTCATTGAGTGGGGTTTGTTTTGTTATTTTGGATTTGTATCTCTAATGATACAAAAGTGCTTAATAAATGCCTGTTGGTTGATTCACTGGTTGAACCACTAACACTGGTGGTTAAAATCATTTTATCACCTTTTTAAGCAATCTATGTCATTCTTACTTGAGCCAAACAAGGGAGAAGCTGTTCATTCATGATTATGAATTTTAGAATATAAATTACATAATAAGGATTCATCTTTTGATCCATACACATACGTGAGTGCATGTATGTGCTTAGACAGTTTTTAGATTACTGTTTAATCCTTTAATGATAAATTAACTTGTCTGTCGAGTCATAGTGACTTTCAATTTCTCACTGTCATCAATGTCAGAAAAGCTAAATAAGACCTAATTTGCTGCCTCCACTACTAACAAAGATATCTTCAAGTATTCCACATTGAATAGTCAAATGAGATCTATGATACCCTAAAATATGCCTGTTACAGAAAAGGGAAAGTATTATAGTTAAATGTTGTAACATTTATATATTCAATTCTGAAAATTTTGCCCGTGTTCCTCCTACATGTTCCTTCCTTCCTTTATTTCCCTTTTCTTCCCTTGTTTTTCTTTCCCTTTTGTTCCTTTTTCTTTCTTTTTTCTCTTCTTTCCTTCTTTTTCCTTCCTTCCTTTCTTTCTTCCTTTCTTCCTTAAACTATGATATTTCTTGGTAACAGCAGTGTGGAAACTCCCTCCACAGATGCAGATGGCTATTTCATCTGTAACTTACAGTAAGTGCTTCCTGAGTCTCTGATAAAGAAAGCCTTTTGCCTGGTCTCTTGCCAGGACCCAGGCTTCCACAACACTTCCTGCAGTCCCTTCATCATGACCCTACACTCAGACTCTCTCTACTCCACAGGAAACTTGGCCTCCACCCCTCACATTCCTTGCTCCGATAGATGGGCCTTTTTGCCTTATTTTACAGGAAACTGGGCCTCTGGGCTGCTTCTGCAGTCTCCTCTCCATGCAGAGGTACCCTTCCCCCAACACCTTTTTATGTGTTGTTTTCCCCTATTAGAATTGAAGCTCCCTGAAGGCAAGGACTATCTTACTTGCTTCTATTTGTATGTGTAATGCTTGGTATAGTGCCTGGGATACATAGTAAAGTGCTTAATAAATGCTCTGTCTGTGTGTCTGTCTGTCAAGAAGGTGACTAATCTAAGATCACAAAGCAAATATGTATCAGAAACGGGAGTGGGGTCTTCCTAACTACAAGCCAACCCTCTCTAGAGGCAGTGAGGTGAGGAGTGGATAGACACAGCTGAATTTGGATTAAGGAAGATGTGATTTCAAATCCTGCCTGAGATACTTACCACCTGTATGATTCTAGGCAAGTTATTTCATCTCTTTCAGCCTCAGTTTCCTCAGCTATAAAATGAGAATAAGAATAGCACCTACTTCACAGGGTTGTTGTGAAAATCAAATGAGATCAATATATGTATGGTACTTTGTAAACCTTAAACCTCTACATAAATGTTAGCTATTATTATTATTATGCCATATAGCTCTACTTGACTAGATTATGCTTAAATATTTTAATTTTAATCATAAAAATAAGGATAAGAAAAACTTCTAAATGTCAAACTGTCTCAAACTTGCAACAGCTCAAGAAACGTTGATGAACTCACATGGCAGGAAGGGCTGCAACTAATAGTGATCTAAGTAGATATCCATTTGGGGAGCACTAGTGGGGGAATATGTGGAATGAGAGGGCATTATTAAACATTTAAAGTGAAACACACTAGGACCAGGATGCAATTTTCAAACTGTGCTTAGGGTTATAAATGTTAGGTACCAGTTTTGATGGTAGGCAAAAGCTATGTGAGAATCCTGTTTATAGTGCTTTAACTAGAGCCCAGATTCATTCATTCCTTTGAAAGTATCAGCATTTATACAAAAAGAACAAAAAAAGGACAAAAATCTACCAACTAGGCTGAGCAGCCATCCTCTCCATGTAGTCCTTGGCCATATTTTGGGCTTCGATGTTCTCAGGATACAGCACACAGAACATTGCCAAGGCACCCAGGTTGTTGCCATAGATTTCATTCCACCTTGCACTGTAATCCTTGGGATCCCAAGGAGGAAGATACTCCAGAGGACTAGACAGCATGGTATGCACCGCTTCAGTTAACCGTGCAGCAATGTGCCGGTGTGTACTGGCTGCCCTCCGCTGCAGCTCCTCCACCTCCCCCTTGGAAAAATACAGCATTGGGTGGCTGTCATAGTTGGCATTGATGAAGGGAATCATGACTTCTGGGTTCTCGTCAGTGATGTAGGCTGCCACTAAATAGCACAAATGTATGAAAAACACACTGGGAGCCCCCCGTGTGTGAGTCCTCATTATGGCATCAGATCTCCAAGTCGCAAAGGCAGCCAAACCATCTTTGAAATGTCCTGAAAAAGGAAAAACAAAGATAAATCAGCATGGCATGGTGGGAAACATATGGAAGATAGGGCTTTATGTACTTTTTAAAGTGGTACTACTTGGTCCTGAGTTTTGAAGAGAAAACTTTGTGAGTATAGATTTCTCTATATTTATAAAAACTCATTAGAAGTAAAGAATATGTTAGGAAGCTTACTGATGACTAACAAATCCTGTTTCTAAAAACTAGAGTCAAGCAAACACACTAACCACATGCAGGCATTTTCATTCAAGACATCACAATCCATAACAAGAAAAACAATACTGCACAAACAATAAGAGAAAAGGTCATTCTATTTTCTCTTTGATAATTTCTCACACAGATAGGTTTTTTCCTCTTTTAAAAATATTTATTTATTTTCATTTTTCAACATTAACTTTTATAAGATTTTGAGTTCTAAATTTCCCCCACTCCCTCTCTAAGGTGGCATGCAATCTGATATAGACTATACATGTACAGTCATATTAAACATATTTCCACATTAGTCCTGTTATGAAAGAAGAATATAAGAAAGCAAAAACAAACAAAAAAAGAAAATAGCATGCTTCAGTCTGCACATAATTCTCTTTTTGGATGTGGACAGCATTTTCTATCACGAGTCTTTTGAAATTGTCTTAGATCACTTCATTGCTGACAAGAGCTAAGTCTATCAAAGTTGGTCATCATACAATATATATTTTTTTCTATGATAAAACTTCATGCTACCTCAATGGGAATATGAATGGCTAAGAAGAAAAAGTGGACATATTTTTTTAAATGACCCTTCTCCAATTCACTTTTTCCTATACTGAGTGTTTGAACTAATAAATCTTTAAGAATTTAAATAGGCAAAAGTGTTATCACTAATGTGAAGTAGCAGCAAGAACAGTTGAGTAGAAGGAGCAAAAGGAGCAGAAAAAGTAAGAAGACTTTTCAGTCTTCTTACATCTTGCTTCCTGACATGTACTTTTTGATCTGGTAACCCTGACTTCCTGGCTGTTCATGAACAAGATACTCTATGTCTCCATTCTGAGTATTCTCTCTGGCTGTTGCCCCATGCTTGCAACCTCTCTCTCCTTGGCTCCACCCAGATGTCTTGGCTTCCTTAAGTCCCAATAAAAATCCTATCTTTTACTGGAATCCTTCCCCAACCTCTCTTAATTCTAGTTCCTTCCTTCTAATCATTTTCTATTTACCTTGCATACAGCTTTCTTTATATATATTTTCTTGCATATTATCTTCCCTTTTAGATTATAAATTCCTTGAGGGCAGGGACTGTCTTTTGCATCTTTTTGTATCCCCAGTGCTTAACAAAGTGCCTGGCACATAGAAGGCAATTAACAAATGTTTATTAACAAAAAGAGGGTCAACATCTCTCAAAACTTTTTCCCAGTGGCAGATAATAGCATCAATACAATAAAGGATTTGGAATGCCAAAGTTTTGATCTTTGAAAAGGATAGATAGATATCTAGAAGTAGAGATAGAATACACACATATATGTATACATATGTGATCCATACACATATTTATATATGTATATATTAATACATATGAAAACACTGACCATAGAATGTACAAGCATTTTTTCCTTATTACTTTATAGTGCTGTCTATTTTTACATTTTGCACATTGAGTGCAATTTAGTAAGGTGAAAATTTAAACCAACCCATATGTGTTTTTAACTATTTGATATTCTAAAAATGCTTTTAATGGTGAATTTGCTTAGAGGTTAAAAGAGAGTCTGTTCAAATGTAGTAACATTAAAAAAAATCTCATACTACTATGCCCCACATCTGGGATAAAACAGGCATGCAATCTCCCCAGAGGAAGGTCAAAGAATTCCTAAAATTCCTAAGAGGGGAAAGGTTATAGAAAGCAGACTAGAGAGACAGTTTTGTGTAAATAATGAACAGTAGTTTTCAATTATTAAAAAAGAGAGGCTGATAGAGCAAGGAAAAATGGTTTTCATAATCAGAGAGAACACTAAGAATTAAATATACACTGTAGCCTAATCCACATCTTCTTTTTGGTTTATTTCCAAGATCAAAGCAATTAGAATAATGCAAGGATGTTAGATTAAATTATATATGTGTGTATAAATTATATATAACAAATATATAATATTTTGCTACATTTTTGAATAATGGAGATAAAAAGAAAATAAAAATCATTGGCATTATTTTTAGAAACATTTGTGATTCATTTAAAGAGCAAAATTTGAGATAACTGTACTAAATAGAATTTAAATCTTGGATGCAACCCCTATTGTGTCTAGCACCCAAAGCTTCAACGTGGTTGGCTGTCCCAAATCATAAGCTGGGCCAAAAAGAATTGTCCTCTATGCTAAGTCTAGTGAGATGCGGGGTGGGACTAGAGAAAAAGGTTATAGTCTCCTGAAATAAAAAAGATTTGGCTGAGTCTAATTATATCTAGTATGGTCAATTTCCCCAAAAATGGCACTAATGATAAAAGAAAGCACATACCCAGATATGAATAATGAAATGAAGTCCTGAAAACTCTTAGACCCTAGGCCTATGATGTCCAGAGTGAATTTAGGTGTGTGAAGAGGAACAAAGAAGTGGAAGAAGGTAAAGGTGAAAGTAAAGAACAAGTGAAAGAGAAGGAGGGATAAGACAAAAAATGAAGAAAAAATCAAAGGCAAAGACAAATGAAGAGTAAGGAGATGGGGGTGTAAGTGTATGTTTGTGTTGCTCGCTCTCCAGGTTCAGCTGACAGCTCTGGACTTGAAAGGAAAAGCAGGGTTCTTCTGTTCTCCTGGAACTAATTTTAAAAAATTGTAATAGTTCAACATCTGGACCAGTGGCGAGTATTTGAGAAGGAGGGAACTCTGAAGAAAGTGAACTCCTCTCCAACTTAAACATTGCATGATGGTCCATGAAAATTTGGTAACAAAAGGACTGCTTGACTTTTATTTCCTTCATGTTTGGGCTGTGCACTTAATCTTCCTGGGACTCAGTTCCTTCTTTTATAAATAAGATGTTAAGATAGGACTAGATGACCTCTGAGGTCCCTTGAGGTCCTGTGATCCTTCTATATCATTTATACAGAAGCATTGTGAGATTCAATGGGTATGTCCCTAGTTTCTTCACCTATTTTATGTCATGGATCCCTTTGGTAATCTAGTGAAGTTCTTGGATCCCTTCTTATAAAAATTTTAAATGCACAATATAAAAAACCATAGGAGTACAAAGAAAACCAATTATATGGAAATATAGTTACAATATTTTTTAAAAAACAAATTCATAGACCTCAGGTTAAAAACCCTTTTCCTACATAGTATCCTTAAAACTATAGAATCACTGATACCAACCTTAACTAATTCATATTGGAGTTTGACCAGCTCTGCCAAGAATGTTTCCAGTTACACATAATGTAAATGTATTTCTTCCCATGAGAACGGCCAATTCTCATAGTTTGAGAGCTTTCTCTAAAACCTGACAACTGTTGTTTTGGACATAACTATGATGGGTTGGGCCAATTTCCTGATTATTATTTCAGCTGGCTAGGGTAGAAGGGTTACCTGTGTTATGATTCACCGAGGCAGGGCAGAATGTCAACCAGCTTCCACAGCTCACCCTAGTTCTGTTCCTGTCTCTTTCACTCTATGTCACTACTTCCACTTTCTCTATATTCCCAGTTCCATTAGTTCTCCCTAGACTATAGAGATGAAAGAATCAATGTCACTAACACATGTAACTGCAGTTTACTGATCCTAGAGACAACATGGAAAGAGTATTGACTATATGTGGAGTAAAAAGTCCAGAATTTGATTCTTGGTTCCGTCACTTACTGCCTGTGTGACTCTAGGCAAGTGAAGTCACCTCTTTGAACTTTAGTTTCCTCACAATACTTGCATTACCTACATCTTAGTTTTGGGGTTTTTTGGGGGGAGTCAGGAGGAAGCACTTTTTAAACCATAAGCTGAATGGAAATAGCTTTTCCTGCATTACAAAATGTCATTATCCATCCTTAGTTTAGCTGAGGAATTTAGAGTTTTCCATAAGAAACTTTGATCAAGAAATCAAAGAGGGAACCTCTTCTTCTGTCCTCTTCTTAAAACCTAAATAACAAAAAATAACCCGCTAAAAAACCTAAACCAAAACATAAACACAGATGCATTTTTCAGAGTATAGATTTTTGATTCACACTTCACTGAATTCCAGCCAGAAAACAGTTTGGCCTGCCTGATTTACACGACATTCACTTATTCTGTAGTTTCTGTCCCTCTCCTCAACCAAATCATACTACTCCTAAAGTCCCTGTGGTTAGAACTTGGGCATTTCCTCCTTCTGCTTCCTCATGGAGCACTACTCCCCGTCCCCAAGAGAGTAGTCAGAGTCAGATGAGACAATGAGCTACTCAAATCTAATGGGTCTATACTCTCCCTTTTACTGGAGAAATAAATACATATTCGAGCTACATCCAGACACACTAGCACCATGCAGAGCACATAATTTCTTCCTGTGTTGTGGAGAGTCAGGGGTCATTTCCCTACAACCTCCATTTGGCTACTAATCATTGAAAAGAGATACTCAACAGCGAGGCATTTGTCAAACTGTTAAGTCTTTCTGGGCTGTGGCACTTTGACCCAATGTTCAAGGACAGGCCTCTTCAGAATGGTAAAATTATGGCCTACACCACAGAAGACTGTAAAATCGATTAATGTAAATATGATAGATTTTCTTTCTATAATCCAACTCTCCTAAAGTCTATGGGCTCAATAATCCTTCTCAGACCTATTTTACCAAAAAAAATTCTTTCTTCCAATTCTTCTCAAATGATGCAATGGTAATTCTTTTGATTCTCTAGTATCATATGGCCTTACATCTCTTTTCCTCTGTCATTATAACATAGCATGAAGAATAACAATTGTTTAAAATAGTTTGCTTTCAATTATATTCTCAATAGAAAGCTAGTCTTGAAGTTGAGAAGATCTAGGGTCACTTCTAGCCTCTGATAACTACTTCTAG